TATACGTATTTTTTACTGAATTACTGAATATTTTTTCTTTCTTTCATAATATCTAGTCTAAATTGATTTTAAAATGTGTTTATACCTAAATTACGTAAATTTACATTGTAAAAATGTTATATTCCATAATAAAATACAGTGTGTTTTTAAAAAGAAAATTTAAATATATCTATAAAAAATGTAAAATTAACAAAATATGGTAAATCACATGATATTGCATGTAAATCTTTCGCACACATGCGTATGTATAGCGAAANATTTTCTTGTTTGTATACGAAGTGTTACTGTGTTAGTGTTGCCGCCATGCCGGTCGCCAACTGCATGCTTTGCCTTGAACAATGTCAGGTTTTACAGTGGACCAGTTTCCAGTGTCGTGCAGAAGTGCATTTTTGAATTGAACTATACCCTTTTAAATTTTTTGTTTACAAAATTGTATTTGTAAGAGTTCCCTGATTTTTCTTTTTTGATGAGTTCTGAATCACCCTGTATGTAGAAGTTTAGAAACAGTTCTCTTGAACCGAACTAGTTGCAATATTGCAAGCTGTATGTAATGATAATAAAGAGGAATATACGAATATATATTTCATAGCTATGCGCTGTTCATGCTGGATTGTGTATTGTATTGTTAAATATATCTTAAATATTGAATACAAAAGTCGAATCGTGTTTTGAAACATCTATGTTGAGTTTTGTAGATGCTAGAAATTGTATGGTATACATCGTCAACTGCCTAAGATATAAGTTACAAATTATCTTATATATTATGTTTTGTTTTCCAGGAATTAAAGAAGATACATGGATTCCTTTTGTGTACCTTGAAAACATCACATTGATGCAGACATCTATAAAGCATTCAGACAATCTTTTAAGAGTCGATTTTTATTATTTTTGGCAATGAACATCAAATATCCAATCTGAAAACAATATTGGAACTAATCCAAAGATTCTTCTTGAAAATTCCTCAGGATCAAAAACAAAAAATGTATCTGGACCAGGAAGGAAAGTGATCAATCTTAAACAAATTTAAAGAACTAGGATAACTTGATAATACATGGTGATCCGCAACTTATCCAAAAAAAATTGGGGATAGATGCGGCATGAAAAATGGAGTCAATATCGTACAAAAATTTTTTGTAAAATCTTTATTGTTTATGAGAAAAAAATTATTGAGGTTGTAGTATTTTACAGACTTACATAGCTGAGCTACTGTAGTTTCTAGCATCATTCGCGTTGTGCGCTGTCTCAACTCGCTCTTTCTCTCTCTCTCTCTCTCTCTCTCCACGTGGACCCAGGCAATTCCGATTTTAATAGGTATTACATTAGTTTTCCAAGTGTCAAAAATGGATTAAGTGTATAGCAACTCGGAGTTGATGGATATCGTTTTAATTTATGGTGAAGCAAGATAACATTTGTGTTGTGTAAGACCGATCCAAATATGTTTACACGTCGGTGGACAAAATTTTGAACAGTTGTTGTAGCATCAGGTATATCAAATTATTTTACATTTTACATGTAAAACCACAAATTAATTTCATTAATTAATAATACGTAACAATATCGGCAAAAGCAGTTGAATTTGCTGATATAAAATAGGCGCTATAAAATTCTATTTATTTCTTTCTTTACGAAAGATTTTTCCGTTTTTTATTACACTTCGCCTTGTGTAAAGTCAGGTTTTACAGTGGACCAGTTTCCAGTGCCGTGCAGAAGTATTCTAAAATTGTATTTGTTGTAGACATAATCGTTTCATTTTTAGAAATGTGGTAGGTAATATTCATAATCCAAAAATAAACCCCCATGTGTATTATGTAAATATTATGTAAAATAATAATAAAATAACTCTTAAAATCACAGAATGTTATTAAATAAATATTACAGTACTGACTATGTCATCTTACAAGATATACAATTTATAACTGACAACATATGAGACTCTACTCAATAATATTATGTGGCTAGGAGTATAAGTACTTATACTCCTAAGCGTATAAACACTTTATAGTAAAATTTTAATAACAAACATTTATTTTTTTATATTTATTATTAATATTTATAGTAAAAGTACAATTGTGAAGATTTGCAACATTTAAGAATCCTCCACTTCTTGCGATATCAGTACTCATGACAATGTTTCTAGGATCAACTGCTTTTAAAGATCCATTACTTGTACTGGATCCCTTAAATGAAAATTGTTCCACATTCTCCTCAGAGTTAGGTTGAATAATTCTCTTAGCAATTTTGATCTTATATTCTACAGAATTTTTTATGTATCCTTCAGCAACCGCATCCGATTTCCAACCCCCATGCCCTTTTAGCGTAGTTATATCCCCCCGCTATCGACAAGGATTGTTGCAGAAGTTCTTCTCAGACAATGCCCTGTATACTCTTCCCAATTTGGAAGCTTCAAATACAATGCCATATCCTTTGCTACACTACCAATTTTATGGATACCCATAACAGCTTTATAACATTTCCCATTTTTACATTAAAAAAAACGTCGTTCCTTAAAATGGGGTGGATCCAAATTAACAAACTTTCTATATTTACTTAAATATTGATCCCTCGAAATGGCAAAATTCTATTCTTATTAGTTTTAGTGTTAGGAATTTTAATTAGCAGCAAAGATCCCATGTCTTCAATATCATCAATTGTCATCTTCACTAGTTCGTCGCCACGACATGCCTCCGTGCCCCGAATATACCAAATATCAAAGTTACCTGAAAAAATAAGAATTGGTTATGAATGAAAATATGAAACAAACAAAATGTAATTTTATTACTTTTATCGCCAGATACTTTTCATCTGAGGCATCAGACAAAAATGTATGGAACTGTTTTTCTTTGGCTTATAACCTTCACCTTGTTATTGTCATAAATGCACGCAAATTGTATTTTTCGATGTTCACATTATGCTTCAACCTTAACACAGATTTTACCATTGACATTGAACTCTTCAAGTTTTTGTGCCATTCCCGAAAAGTAGGTATGCTAATAAAACGTTCTTGGAGTACTGCGTTACATTTTTTAGAGTACACCATTTCTCGAATTTTCTACAGCCATCCGCCTCTACCACCTCGGGAGGTTCATCAGCCACTTCTACACTCATTTTCAGTCCATAGTCACTGTCAACCGACGCGACGCCAAATTTTAAATATTTGTTTTGGTCATAGATTTAATAGTATACTTTATTAGATCTATGGTTTTGATAGATTCAAGTACGTATCTATATTAACGATAAGTAAAGGTATACGAGTATACAGTGAAATAAGTTAATAGTTATTTATGGTACTATTGTGTTACGGTATACAGGGCTGAAAAATCCACATGGTCCATCTCCCATTACATGAGAGCGACAAAGTAAAGTAAAGAAATCCGTGCGATAGAGAAGGATGGCTATAGTGAAGACGTTTCATAATCTGAATAGTCATCGCCCGTTTCGGGTTAGAAGTGCGAGATTATGAAACGTCTTCAATGTAACCATCCTTGTCTATCGCACGGATTTCTATGATTTACTTTATCGCTCTCACGTAACGGCCGATGTACCATGGAGACTTTCCGAACCTGTATATAATTCACGCTGGGAAATGTTTAACCCCCAAGTGACTTATATGACGTAACACACGAGTGCCATACAAAATTTTATCACTTTCATAGAATAGTGAATAAAAGTAACTTAAAATTTCAATTTGTCAATGTCAGTAAAAGTAATTTAACGAAATGAATGTATTTTTAAATATTAAAAGATGCGAGTGTCATATGATTTCTATAACTTACTAGTGGGTTATAAGTCATAACTCACTAGTGACTTATATGCTACATTATTCCTTTAAAACCAAAGAAATTATAGTATCATTATATGCAAGTGTTGGATAAAGATCTTTATTTAAAATTCGTTTTTTTTCTTAGTTACTTTAATCATTTTACCTAGAATTGATAACGATAACGAAAAAATAATAGTACTTATACCTATGATGTTCGGAGAATAAGATACTTTATGTGCTTCGCATGGATTGTCTGACTCACTACGTTCATCAGACAAACTCTCCACGTTTAGCTCATAAAGTATCACTTATTCTCCTAACATAATATACTAGTATACCTATTTAAAATAATACATAACTGATAATATCATATTCCCGTAAATGTAGTGTACTAAAGACGCGTTATTATCACTACGTCAATTCACATAACTTAACGTTGGTTACAAATTACCAAAGTTATATTATACAATTTTACAATTAACGTTTTTTCAGTTTTTTTTGTGGATCTACATATTTCGTACACCGAATGAATATGAAAAATTGTGACATTTATATCTTTACAAGACCGATTGAAGTCCATCTGCAGTCTATACAGATAAACTATGGATGTACTACAGAATATTCAGAGCAACTAGGTAGGTACGAGATGTTCATAAAATGAATGTAATGAGATAGTACTACAATCTGAATCTATTTTCTTTCTAAGTTAATATCTATATTACCATATAGAAAATTAAGGTCTTATGTTCTTCCATATTTTCTTCTAATATCGTCTTCTCTGTCCATCTCTATCTATTATATATTCTCAATAGTCTTATATCACATATATCACTCTGGCAAAATTTTTAGTCCACATTTTTGTCGATATACATAATAACTTAGGCCACAGAAAACAAAGTCTTCTGGTATGACATTTCTGAAGAACTGTCTTCAGAACTCTTCGGTACCTCTTCTTTTTAAGGTTTAAATCACTACAGACTATACCAGTCCATGAGGTTCACCTTCAGACTGTTACCCGCCGCAAAAAGAACAAAAACCTGACCCCAAAACCCAGTAAACACGCCTTCATATTTAATACCCAATAAAGTTCCCGAAGTGTACACTGCTGTTTTTTTTTAGCAGGCAGTGATGCTAAATTCAACAACCAGTTCCATTGAGACGAACACGAAGCTTAAGTCAGTGCCAAGTCCGATGTGTCTAAGCACGTCTGTACCACGCAATGCCTCCGGTTCGATCTTGAAATTGTTATTCGCGAAAGACGCCACCACCGTCGCGTCGCCTGCACACATGATATTTTCGTGAGTCAGTGCAGTCATTCATGAAATCAGTTTCCTGGAAAAATAATTGTATTCAAATAACGGCCGGCGAAAATAAACTAATTACTCGTTGTTCGGGAGATCGTTGGCTTGGGAGTTTGTTGTTAAAACAAATATACTTATGGGGTGAGTCAGAATAATATTAAACAACAGTTCTCGGGAAGCGGTGTAGTAGTTTGTCGATTTTATTAGCGCGACGGCTGCTATTTGCTGATGATTCGAAAATTTTGACGAAGTTTTAACGGATTGTGTTCATAGAGTAGAAAAGTATCTGGTTAGAATGACGCTGTAAGTAATTTTGATACTATGCGCATGATATATAAAAAAATATGTTAATCTTGTTTACAATACTTTAACTGGTTCTTGGAATGAAAAGTTTTCCACCAAAAGCTCAGAACAGTTTTTACAATTAATGCTGAAAAGGTTTTTTGTATTAAAATAAGTATAGAATCAATGGTAAAAAAATAGTTTAGAAATTTCAGTACTTTGGGGAGCCATGATATATATTTTTGTATATTTTTAACAATACTTGTTGGCTTGGGCTTTTCTTAGTCAATAAAAGGGCGAATGCGCCAGTTTATAAGTACATAAAAGAGAATAAATTAATATATTTTTTAAATAATTCAAAAACAATGTAAATTTTGTTCCACTGAAAGGAGACAGCATTTCTACATAGACTCCCGTTGTTAAAAACATCCAAATCAGTTATATTGCTGTCTAACTTTAAATTTAAAGCAATACATAAAATTTCATCCAATAAAATTATGTTTTTGTTCAAATGTGGTGGTTGAAAATGTATGTGACGAAAAATGACGAAATTATCATATTATTATGGTTGTCCATCTTGTGCAACAAAACTGTTATAATTGTAATCATGAGAAAAAAATATTTTCGTAAAATTCCACAATAAAATGTATTACTTTTGTTGTAGTGACGTATGCCCTTTTGAATTCTGCAATACAGGTGTCTACCTCTACGTTTGTAGTAGGAAGTAGTACATAGGGTGTTCTTAAAGTCCGTCAGGAAACTCCGGGAGAGATTGCACGGATTTTTTAGAATGGTCAATTGTTTGCAAGTTACAGCTTGTTAAAGTTCAATTTTTTAAATTTTTCTATATAAAGAATTTAGCAGGAAATCGCTATTAATCGCTATTAAAGTGTTATTAAACATAAAATTTTTGATAATTCTTTCTACAATTAATGCCATGCTGTAATAACATCTCTTGTAAAACCAGCTTCGTTAGTAAATAAAATATTATTAGTAAATTCATTATCCTCAGCTTATTTTTCCGCAACGTTATTACAAAGCCGAAAAAAATGTATTATGGTGAAAAATCAAATATACCTGCTTTAAACAATTTTTATTACAATTCGTAACACCAAAATTACTAATGATATTTATTTGAAGCATGGCAACTTACAGAAGCTTTATAAAAATTTGATATTTAATAACACATTATCTAATAGCGATTTCCTGGTAAACGGTTACATTTATCGGCTTGAACAAAGAGTACATAATTTTTTCTGATATTGTTTCTCTTTTCAATAATGTTTAAATTTCTGTGATGTCTAGCAAGAGAAAAAAGTTGTGAATAAAACAAATTTTGAGTTCTAGGTAAAGTGCCCTCTAGCGGTGCATATTGAAACTTTTTTCTGACTGGTCCAATAGAGCTTCATCTACTTATTGGGTATATATAACTTGAATTAAATAAGTTATTTAAATAGAAAAATAAAAAAATTGAACTTTGTCAAGCTGTACTTGCAAACAATTGAAAATTCGAAAAAAATTTTCATTACATACTGCTAGTAATTTAATCCGTAGAATCACCTCCCGGAGTTTACCTACGGACATTCAGAAGACCCTGTATGTTACGAAAAATTTACTAAATCATCATTCTTTATAGAAAAAAAATATATTGATAAGTTTGATCTTAACTTGTACTTTTTTTTTGAGTAATTTAAGAATTTGTGGTACATATTTTATTTAGTGTCCCAAGGCGATTTCTAGAAAATTTGTAAACAAATACAAAAGAGTATAAAAAATTTCAACAGTAGTGTGGTAGTAAAAGCTCAATATAAGAGATGATCGTATAACTTTTTTTAGAAATTGAATATATTTGATAAAATTGTAATAAAGCTAGACATTTTAAATACAATTTGTTAGCAATGTGCGTCACAAATTGTAGTCAATCGTATTGTCTGTAGAAATTATAATCAAGAGCTACAATTGAGTACAAATTTTTCCTTGTACTGATACATCTCTGANGAGAGATTGCACGGATTTTTTAGAATGGTCAATTGTTTGCAAGTTACAGCTTGTTAAAGTTCAATTTTTTTAATTTTTCTATTTAAATAATTTAGTAGGAAATCGCTATTAATCGCTATTAAAGTGTTATTAAACATAAAATTTTTGATAATTCTTTCTACAATTAATGAAGTTGCCAGGCTCTAATACCATCTCTTGTAAAACCAGCTTCGTTAGTAAATAAAATATTATTAGTAAATTTATTATCCTCAGTTTATTTTTCTACAACGTTATTAGAGCCGAAAAAAAATTATGGTGAAAAATAAAACATATCAGCTTTAAACAATTTTTATTACAATTCGTAACACCAAAATTACTAATGATATTTATTTGAAGCATGGCAACTTACAGAAAGCATTATCAAAAATTTGATGTTTAATAACACATGAATAGCGATTTCCTGGTAAGCGGTTACATTTATCAGCTTGAACAGAGAGTACATAATATTTTTTTGATATTGTTTCTCTTTTCAATAATGTTTAAATTTCTGTGATGTCTAGCAAGAGAAAAAAGTAATGAATAAAACAAATTTTGAGTTCTAGCGGTGCATAATGAAACTTTTCTCTGACTGGTCCAATAGAGCTTATTGGATGTGCCAAATGAGAGACTAATAGAATTTGAATTTAATAAGTTATTTAATAAGAAAAATAAAAAAATTTAACTTTGACAAGCTGTAATTTGCAAACAATTGACAATTCGAAAAAAATTTCATTATAGAAAAAAATATATTGAAATAAGTTTGATCTTAACTTGTACTTTTTTTTGAGTAATTTAATAATTTGTGGTACATATTTTATTTAGTGTCTCAAGGCGATTTCTAGAAAATTTGTAAACAAATACAAAAGATTATGAAAAATTTCAACAGTAATGTGGTAGCAAAAGCTCAATATCAAGAGATTTTTGTATAATTTTTTTTAGAAGTTGAATATATTTGATAAAATTGTAATAAAGCTAGACATTTTAAATACAATTTGTTAGCAATGTGCATCACAAATTGTAGTCAATCGTATTGTCTGTAGAAATTATAATCAAGAGCTACAATTGAGTACAATTTTTTTTTGTACTGATACATCTCTGATTGTGATTGTTGCCAACCAAATTTTAAAATCTTTAAAAATATTGTAATTTCGCAAGTAGACAGAGGATGCCAATTTACGTAATTCCTGAAAATTTAAAGTTAAAATATTACATAATCAGAAAAATATTACCTTCATAAAATTTAATTTCTCTAGTAATCTATGAAAGTTACAAGAAATCTGAGGATATCGATCAAGCGCGCTTAGTATTATGCAATTTATTTATAATCTAACCAACTTTGTACCTCTTACCATTTCCGAGATCCACGATCATTCTATGAATATTAAAATAAAACTTGCAAACATTAAATACATCAACTCTTTAAATAGACCAACAAATCAAGGAATAGAATATGTGTTTTCGAAAGTTTTAGACGATTTCCTGGAAGACCATTAGCTGGCGCCAATTTTCTCCACGAATTAATCGGCATATATTAGAGAGTTTGGTAAAATTGTAGTCAGCTTCATGAAATAATATTTATCAATAAATATTTAATGACACATTACCTCTTGAAAATCTACTTCTATTTTTTTAAGGGGATGTACCTACGATTATATTTGTTTTAAATCAAATATTTTGTTTTGTTTGTTTAACTATTTAGTTGTGTTGGTACATTCAGGAAAGTATCGATAGAGATTGATAAAGAGATATGATTAATTTGGGTTAAAAATTATTATTATTACTCATGTCTATAAGTCATTGATATGAGTAACAATATTCATATACATAATATTCTTTATTCCTGGAATTAATCTCTAATAATATAATTATTATGTATCATCAATATGTAGGTATCATTTTTATCAGTTTTTATAAAATATTGTGTAATAATTCGAGAGCTTAGAGAATGACTAGGTACACCTAAATATTTATTTTCTATTTTTATGTTGATGATGTACGAAATACAATACGCAAGATAACAAATTTATCGTTTTAATAAGCACAGCTGACTTTTTCAAAAAGTCTGACAAGAATTATCTAATCTAAAAGTAATTACGTTTTAAACTAATTTAACTAATGAATCAGAAAAGCTTACATAATCAAATCAAATATCTACTAAAAGATAAAGACAAAATTTCTTGGAATAAGAAGCACATGATTGTGATTTTGCGATATGCTTCTATTATTGCAAATTCATCCAAATAAGAATTGACACAGCTGTTGGATATCAAATGTATCGGTTCTTAAAGATGATATTTCAAATTAAGTATAACAATATATCTTATACCTAATGTTTGAAAAACAGTTAGGTACATTTTTATACAGGATGTTTATTAAGTACTTGTACAAACTTTAAAGGGTGAATCTTTGACTAATTTTAAGACAAAAAGTTCATATGAACAAGGGCCCGCGACGGATTAATTCTTGAGAAAAAAAAATTTTTGTTTGGTATTTTGATTATATTTTTGTTCAATAACATTTTTGACAAAATTCGTGAAACTGAGACTATTGATGATGAGAAACTCAAATATTTACTTAGTTTTATGTTTGATGTTAGAGGGCGCCACAGTGTTATATCTGGATTTAAATATCCATAACATTTTTATGTCATTTTTAACACTCGCCAGCCTCAACGAAATTAAGAATTGCTTCATTAAAGCATTAAATTAAAGCAACTATTTAAATTTATTTTATGTTAATTTAAATAATCTTCTAAAAGCTCATATACTAGTATCTTTGAACAACATGTAGATATATACTGGCCTGAAATTACCTTTTTTATACTTTACCGATTTTAAGGATACCTAGAAATGAACCTGTTTAGAATGATAAGTTAACCAAAAACATCAGAGATTTTTATTAATAAATCTAATACTCTTTTTATTAAAACCGTATATCGTAAAATGCACTGTTGTTTAGCTTTAGCGGTGTTTAAAATTTCTGGTTCTGAAGTTACACCGATTTTCCCTCACCTTGCGCCACTTAAACGAAAAACCAGACACACTGTACGAAATATGTACTTAGTTGTGTTTGTTAAATATTATTTATATTTAAATTGGAACATTAAAACAAGACATTAAGAGGATTGTTTACAACCAATTTGTGTGAACGATGATGTCACGACACAGTCAGTTAAACGTTTTCGAGAAATGAATGAACTAATGAAATAGTAGGAATACACATTAAGTACATTTGCAATTTTCATGTGTTTTCCCAAAATATTTGCAAGGTTCCATTCACAAGTAGATATCAAAATAATATGTTCCTGTGATTCTGATTCACCCTATATGTTGTAGAAAGTGCAGCACAACTCAAAGGTGTACGCTGGGTTTTGCCGACGACTAGTGGACACGAAAATCTCAGGAGCTGCATTCACATTCCTATCTCGTCGTCGATCATATGAAATTAGTTTATTCCCGGAATTTGGTTCATGAATCAACTAAGCCATGGTAGCTAAAAGTGGTGAATCAACATTCAGTACAACCGGCGGCGGCGAAAGTGTTGCGTCTCCCGATGCGGAGCGCGAGATTCAGTCAATTTTTTGCAAATTGACAACCGCCGAACTCTTAAAACATTTGTTAAATACGCGCGCCAGCAATCGAGACAGCCATGACGAAACAAATGCCGGCGAAACCGTCAAAAAGCGTGGCCATGACTCACCTCAAGAGGCTTACATCCAAGCGACGGATCCATCCCCGATAAAGCTCACTTTTTGTTCAAAATCGGCGTGCGATAAACGCGATTCCGCTGATAATAACAGTGATGTTTTATCTCCGACGGGCAGAGGTTATGTGTCGTTCGAACATGGAATAATGAGCGAACGAGATGACGACCGCCAAAATAATGAAGAACAAGGCTTCAGGGAAAACCTGCAGAGGAACCTCAGCGAGGAAAGCTCCCTTCCCGAACAGTTTTCCGATGACGAGGTCGCGGATTTCTCCGCAGCCATTCTGTCCTCCGACACTCTGGATTTTATTTTGTACGGGACGGAAAATAATCTGTGCATCCATACGCCCAGCCCGAAGGAAAACACCAGTGAGTGTACCGTTAACTCGGATTTTAGTGATTTTACGGAACTGTTGCCGTTTGTTCGGGAAACTGGGTCTCCTGAGGCTGCGTTTTCACCAGTGGCGTCCACGTCGGTCAGTTCCACAGTGAGCAGTAAAATTGTGCCTACAATTGGTGAAACTAGTGATAAAAAGACTGAGACTGCTACGAGTAGTGATAGTGAGAAGGACATCAACGATGCTATGGTACTAGTTCCTTGTGGTAAGTTTATGTCAAATGTTTAAAAGCAGAAGTTAAAATGCCCATATTTTTATAAAGAAACGAGACCCATACCATCTTTTAGGGAATTTCTACGCTCATGTAGACGACTTTGAAGATGAAAAAATTTCAAGAGAAATAAGATTTAAAAAAAATGCTTTTTTCGTAACTACACTTAGGTACTTAAATTTTAGTTACATATTAACACTCCAATTTTTAAATTTCATAATGCTGTAGATCACGAAAAAACAATCCTTGTTTTAATTTTTTTATTTCCCAAATTTCATTCCACATTGTTTTGTCATGCAAGAATTTCGGTCATAATACAAGTAGGTACTTTAAATTATAAGAGGTTTTGATAGCTTAACATAAATAACCGATAAGAGAAGCTTTTCAATTTTTTGTGCGTCTAACGTGACTTGCAGATTTTGCTTCACAATAAATAAATATTAATATGTGTTGGGAAACGCGTCATTTTCGAGATGCCGGAGGGTTTAAATTTTATATTCCACTTTTCTAAATTACAAGAAAACGATTTTCATCTAAAATTTGCCATACACACGTAATTCTAGTTGTTATTTTCGCTTCAGTCTTTCACTGATCAAAATTTGTACATTACAATAGTCAGTTTCATAATTAGTTACTCAAGTATGTATTACTCAAATAATAGAAAGTGACCGGGTGGGGGCGATGACTTATATATGCATTGTACATGTGATGTAAATAATCGTTTTAATACCCAAATATTACTAAACTATTACTCAAGCTTGACAAGTGGTTTAAACAATAATTAAGTATTCAAGTAATATTTCGAGTATCAAGTTATCTATGAATGAAATAAAATATTATTTACTCGGGGCCTGTGTTCTTCTCAACTTCATCATATATTATTCTTATTAATTTTGAACACACATCTTAAAATAGTCCTTTTATTAAGTTATGACGTTGAATGTGCTATTAAAATGTATTCACGGATGTAGTTGAAAGGAGGAAAAACATTTTATTTATAATTTCATGAAAAGAGCTACACTTTACCACAGAGAACATATTTTTCTAGTTTGTAACAGGACCTAATTAATTTTTCAGAATTATTTTTAAACCAAATTTAAAATGTCAAATTTGGCACAATTTTTTTAGTCGTTGACACCAGACGACCTTGGGACATCCTGTACATATGATATGTTGGAAATGGATTAGTTATTTTGTTATTTATACGGAGTTCGAAGAATAAAGTTCATTCATATTTCTATTCGTATCATTGAACATAAGCAGAATTTTTTGCAAGAATTACTGTGTTTCATAAAACAGAAAATTAAATAATAATTTCTCTTTTCCCATCGAAATCTGTGGACATACTGTACAAGCTCTTGTAAAGTTTGATAAAAATTATTTAGTTAGCTATAAAGATGTTTCTGGGTATTTTACATTTATTATAAATAGTTTTTATTTGACTGAACTCATTCATTTTTCAATAGATATGCGCCTATACGTTTTTCACAACAATACTTTTAACCAAATTTAAAATGAACACCCAAGCGAAAATGATGGGACAAAAGTTAAAATTTCTCTGCAGCTTTATAATACGGTATTTTTTTATTTTTAATATATACTTATTGACTTTTTGTTTGCTTCATTTGATGCATTTTTTAGGAAAATTTTTTGAATTTATTTGAAGTGACTTTATAAACTTAAAATAACGTAAAAATACGGTACCTAAAAAGCATAAAAATCAGCTTAAACATACCTTTTTAGTAGTGACGTCACATACGCCAAGTAATAGGCAATAGTGCACATCGTCATGAAGACTTTCTCACTACTTTTACTAGATCGATTTTCGACCTTATGTACTTTGGATATAAGTGCCAAAAAAAAATGGCTTCTTTGTCATGACCTCAAATATCGCGATATTCTGGCAATATTAGAAATATTTAAGAAGTTTTAGATCCCAATAAGTGACAAACTAATAGAATTATAGAATTTATATATTTAAATTTATTGAACAATATTGACTTTTACAGTAATTAATAAATTAAAATTATATCAATGTTACTGAGCATGCGGATTAAATATAATTTCATGTAACATGGAAGCCAAGTAGCCTCGCAATAGGGAAGCTTTGGGTGTGGTTAAAAGTACGTCTATAATAAACAACTTGAAGAAAAAAACACTCGATAAACACACTGACACAGTACAACACCAAGAAGAACAATACTTAGTAAGAACTAGAAAATGCCAAGATTAAACAAAACAAGAGAAAATACGCTAATGATGACAGCGATAACATATCAACAAGATCTCACCTGCGTATGAGGCTATACTTTCCGGGCATGAGCAATAGGACTAACATGGCTAATGTTAAATTTTTACTTTATTTAAATTTAGGAATATTCTTTTATATGTTTTTTTTTGTGTGTATCTTTTTACGAAACACGTATTGGTTGTTCTTAAATACTTCTAAATCCTTGTAAAAATAAATTAATTTGAAGTAGTTCATTTTTATAGTATCTATGTGAATAGTACACAAGGATCAGATTCGGTCTGTACAATATCAACTATGACAATTTGTGGCGTGTTGCCTAAATATGTGACGTCACACTAAAAGAGTATTGTCATAATTTAAAATAATTTTCATGCTAAAATAACGTAGAATAGCAGATTACTGTAAAATTGCACCTGCTCTGACTCAAAATTTTAATTGAGAAGATCCTGTCACATTTTGATGATTACGTGAAGCATAAAGCATCTGTTGGTACTTGTATAAATGTTTTTCAAATAGGAGTTACACTTGAAAATATTAAATTCCGGTTGAATCATATTGAAGAACTAGAGATGGTGCCTCTTATATTCTGGATTCAACAAATTCTATTGCAAACTATTCAATTTATCAACATTAAACTTGAGTACCTTTTTTATAGTCTAGATATCAACATTAAGAAAATAATAGAACATGGAATAGAAGTAAAACAGTTGGTGATGAAACAGTGATAGTCACAAATATTCTAAATGTAAAATATCAATAAGATATCTCGAAAGACTTTTAAAATATGGCAAAAATATATCTACCATTCCACTTTAAAAGGAGATGTCTCACTTATTATCCGTTTACGAAAAAATATATAAGTTCAAACCGTAAATGTGTTAAAATTACTAATATTTTTTTTAAACCATCCCTTCATATTATATATGTACATTTTGAGAAACGATGTCCAGATGGAAGATAATCAAAACCCTGCGTGCTGCTCATTACCGAATAGACCCTTTTAGTAGTGACGTCACATAGGTACGCCAAATAATAGGCAACCCCATAGGGTTGCCATATTTGGCCTAATAATTTCTCAATATTTTTACTTGATCGATTTTCGACCTTATGTACTTTGGACATAAGATCAAAAAAATGTCTTCTTTCTCATGACCTTAAATAACGCCATATTCTGGCAATATTAGAAATATTTAAGAAGTCTCAAACCTCAATTGACAAACTTAAAAGAATGATAGAATTTATATATTTAAATTTATAGAACAATTCTGACTTTTACACTAATTAATAAATTAAAATTATATTATTATAATCAATGTTACCGAGCATACGCATTAAAGATAATTTCATGTAAGTCAAGTAGCCTTGTCACAGGATATCATTCAAGAAAAGTTTGGTTATGGTTAAGAGTACGTCTATAATAAACCGCATGAAAAATAAAATACTTGATAAACACACTGGCATAGCTCAACACCAAGAAAAACAATAAAACTCTTAGTAGAACTAGAAAATGCCAAGATTAAACAAAAGAAGAGAAAATACGCTAATGTTGACAGCGATGACACATCAACAAGATCTCACCTGCGTATGAGGCTAGCAATAAAACGGCTAACGTTAAATTTTTATTTTATTTAAATTTAGAAATATTCTCTAATAAATTTTTGTAAGTTTTAAGCACATTAGTGTATCTATTTTACGAAACACGTGTTGGTTGTTCTTAAATACTTCTAACTCCTTGTAAAAATAAATTAATTTGAAGTTCATTTTTATAATATATATGTAAATAGTACACTAGGGTCAGATTCGGTCTGTACAATTAACTATGACAATTTGTTCTGGGTTGCCTAAATATGTGACACTAAAAGACACTATTGACCTAGAGTTAGGGAGGCACTGCTCTCAACAGGGTCGTACTCCACTTAGGTACTTCGATAGACTTTGTTCTTACTATTTCATGCTTTTGTTTATATGGATGAATAAACCATTCTGTAAGGTATAATCAGTGTACTTAGGTGTTTAAACAAACAATGTTTCACTTTAGAGATGTGCAAGCTGTTAACATAATAAGCAAAAAAATAAATAAAGTTCAAATACTTTCTTATATTTCAAATCCTACTCTGCTACGATTTTTTTGGAGTTAAACTTGGGGCTAAATTTTCATGTCGAGAAACCCGATTTTTATATTTTTGGACATTGCTAAAAATATAAGGAGGCAATTACGTACCACCCTGTATATTGTATGTCTAGTAAGAATAAAATCAATAAAATATTCCCAAAAAAGTTTGCCTTAATAAAGCTTTGAATTAAAAAATGTATACTTACAAGGAATGTTTAATTATTATTTTATATTTTTATAGAATAGGTATCTACTGTAGATGATACTTTACTACAATGAATTCTAAATTATTTCAAGATAAATATCAACGTAATGCATCTCGTTTAACTCTGGAAATTTTAATTATTAGCGAAAAGTTTGTTTAACCTTGGCGTGAATATTGCAACAAGTCAAACGAAAGGAAAACTAAATACGTGGTGCATATTTCGGCGTATTTCGCCTACTCATTACAAAGTGAATGAATGAGTTCAGTTGAATTCATTGCGAAGAAATGAGTAACGACATCGAAAATTAATTGAATCTAATACACTAGAATTAATTTAGCTATTCAAAAAAATGCCGGAGGCGCCCCGGTTATTGTAATTGGATATGGATTGGCTTCATCAATCACTGGAATGTTCAAAGGCGCAA